AGCAACTTCTTAGTTTGGTTTAGATTACATGTTGGTGCTCCAATCAGTCACACTAGTGACTGATGTCTTCATGACTAAATCATTTGGTAGTCGTGACTATTTAAAACTAGTGAGCACTGAAACAAAAACAAAAAAAATAACACAGCATTGATAATTTAGCAAAAAAGCATACTTCTCCATTTTAAGTTCTCCAACCCCATGGAGCTGGCCTTTTCTGTCACATGAATAATTCATAATAGTTACAAGAGTTTGTCATGGATATTTTGTATATCTTTAAGCTTTAGAAATAAACATGCATATGGTTAATATGCAGCAATGCACAGTGGGCCAAAATCATTATTAGCTGGACAAAATTAATAACTTTTAAAATATTTATCAGGTTTTTCCCATAATTAGCAGCTTGAGTATATTTCATATAACAAATCTAATGGCACCATTAGATTGTTTATTTGGTTGCCATGGATACCTATATTTCATGTCAACAGGCATTTTGCATAGTTACCTAAATAAAAAGACTTTCTCAAAATATCAAAGTTATAAACTAAACTGATATTAATGCTACATTGCTATTTTATGTATTTGAATGATAACACAAACAAAAAATTATCAATTTTTGGTGTTACTATGCTGTTATGTGCTCTTAGAAACCAGTTGGTAATTTTTTTTGAAACTTTTTCTTAATTCAAAATTTCTTTAAAAAATGAAATAAAAACTTTTAAAACACTCTTAACTATAAAGGTTTACAGGAACAGTTAATTAAATTTTAACTGTGTAGTTTAGATACCCTTAGCAACCATATAAAAATAAGCAAGTTTTTATGCAATTAGAGATACAAAAAATTTTATAACGAATATATAAGAAAACAAACTTTTATATTCATTATTTTATTATGTAAATATTAAATACTTATAAAGTAAACACCATCTTAAACACCAACGAAAATCAAAACTATGTCATTGACACTTAGTCAAAAATTGGAACCTCTTTAAGAAGATCAAAAACTCCATTTGGAAGAGCGTTTTTCTTAGGATGATGGGGTTTTCTCAAACTACTTATCAAAGGGTCAGAAGAAAACATTAGTCGCCTTAATAAATCTTCGTTTGTTTTGGAACGCGAACACTTTCTAGAAAATGATTCTCGAAATTTCTTAAAATTTTTATTTTGAGCTTCTTGTGCCTCTTCGCTGAGCATGCCAATAGGCAAAGCCATTCTCTCTACAACTTGCCAACCATGAATAAGAATGTGATGCAGACTCTGTGGCATATGATACCATGGATAAAGGATTACATACTTCTCAGCTGTTTTGTAGCAGTATTCTCTAAATAGTGAAGAATCAATTAGAAAGTTAGATGACAATGTACACAAAATCACATGCAACATCTTTATCATACTGACATCAAGTTCAAGAATTTGAGCAGACTTCTCTGCATTCTGAAAAAATTTTCTAGCAGTGTTTCCATTATTTGAAGACCCAGAGCCACCAGATGTTGGCATATCAATTATCAGTCCAACTTCATCACGAAACCTTATCTGGATTTTCTGTTTTCGTTCTTGAATAATTTTCTTTTCAGATATAGTTCTTGTAGAGCACTTTTTCACTGTCAATTTATAACTAATTTTAAGAAGACATTCCATGCTTTTAATCCAAGCATGGAGAGTTGAAAGACCGAAGCAGAGACCTATCTCTGTCAATGGCATATTTTTAGCTGCATTAAGATCATTCATTTTTTTTGGGCTGCATCCACAAACAGAACAACACTGAGAAGATGTAGTTGCTGTAGATAATGCTGTAGCAACTTTGCCGTCCACCATCGTTATTTCAATTTTATGAAGTATTGTTAAGTTTTCACAAAATGTTAAAGACAAATTTGCAATTGAATTGTTAATAAACTGATTCTCTTGTTTCAAAACTTCAATGGTTTCTTTTTTAAATGAAAATCTTATTGGTCTGCAATATAAAGTTGAAGATGGATGTGGATTAGACCAAATTATTAGCTAGCTTCTTCTAAAAGATCTCTGTTTTCTTTCTTAACTGTTACTTGATTATAAATCCTTTGGCTAGTTGATCCATCAAACCCAACTTTAGAATATAAAGTCAACCTTTCAAGATCATTCATTGAATCAATAACTTGTTTCTGCAACTGTATTAGGCGTATTGCTGTATGATCGACTAATGCTTGAAAGTTTATTTCTGCTGAAAAATCATTTACAGTCCATAATGTTTTTTCAGGAAGACACTGTTCTTTAGCAGCACGAACATCATTGTAAGCAGGATAGAGATTACAACCTTTGCTCAAAGCATTATTTCTCAAGCGTTGGTAATCAGATTTGCTCATATCAATATCTAGTATGAGTGCTAGAGCTTCATTTAGAGTGTTTTGAGTATGTTCTGTATCAAAAGGTTGCTTAATAGATAAACTTCAAACTACTTTTGCATCCTTTCTTCTGCTATCTTTAAAAAGATTACAACTACTAGCATACAACAGTTTATTTGATGAACAAGTTAATAAGTCTATAGCTGCTACTTTACGACTCTTTGTCTTATTTGATGAATCATCAAATAATTTTACAGGTCGACCACTAACTATAGATTCAGTTTTATTATCCTGATTTTTAAATGACTTAATAAAGTCTTTTTGAAGCCATACTGAATTATGTTTCATAAAGTTTTCATCAATTCTTTTACTTAAAGACCAACGTTTACGATACTTGGACAAAAAGGTTACAAACTGAGCATCAAATTCAGAACAGTATTCACGAATAAAATTGTAAACATAAAGTTTGTCTTTTTCATTAGACATAGATAAACCATGCTGTCTTATGAATTGATGAATTTGATATCTTGTGATGGTTGACATATTACTACTAATAATATTATTAGACTAAAATAATATAAACATTAAAAAGTTGTATTAATATATATATATATATATATATATATATATATATATATATATATATATATATATATATATATATATATATATATATATATATATATATATATATATAAATACTTGTTATTTTGCGACAAAAGAAACTTGAAAAAGAAACATCTTTGATTTTATAAAATATAAGTATTAAAAAGTATTATAAGTATTAAAAAAAGTAGCAGATACTAGCAGCTAAATTAATAATTTTATAAAAACATATACATATAGCCTTCAAAATATGTATAAGAGATAAAGGCAAAATAGAGCACAAATTTTTCCTTGTTGTCTTTTCAAAAAAAATTAAAAAAAAGTCCAACTTTTACCAAAAAATATATCTAAAACTGGTTTAAAATTTTTTTTTAACTTTTTTTTTTTTATAAATTTTATATATTAACAATTATTTGATATGTTAATAAAAACAGTTAACCAATATACTAAAAATTTATTACACACTTTTGCTTTTTTAAAAACTACATTTTCTCACTTTATCGCCATTTTTTTTTGCAAAAATTTTACTTGAAATGAGTTTTTGTTGAGAATATATATTTTTTTAATTTATTGTAATTATTTTTAAGGTCCTCAATGTATCTAAGTAAAAACTTTTTAAAAAGAATTTCAGTTTTCAGACATAAATTTTTTTAGTTTTGTCCACCTACTGGCCCACTGTGCAATGCAGTTCTACACCAAAAAATCATAAATTTAGTTGACTTCACATAGTAACTCTTATATCAAACAATATGGTAAATATTTACTTACAATAACTTGAAAGTAAACTAATAACTACCAAACTTGTGGACTGACCAAAAGCAAAATGACATGTACAGTGGAACTTCAGAGATTGTGCAACTTCTGATATTCACCAAAAGATATAAAACTTCACAAGATTTATTATTTTATATATTAGACTGATTTGGCACCCTCCAACTTGCAATAATATAATGCTCATTTTTTTTTTAGACATAACTAAAAAAATTTTGTTGGAACATAATCAACAAGATTTTATGACGAAAAACTTTATGATGAGAATATTGAATATGATAAACAATTTATAGCAAAACACTTCTTGGCTAATGATTACTCCAAATTAACTATTTATTGACATATTTAATCACGGCAATCAAGAAAATCACTTCAGGAACAAAAAGTGGTCAAATACAAAGCGTCTAAATTCACAAAGTGAAGTGCTCTCTAAGAAAAGTTTTAAAAAGTTGAAATGCAACTGTAAAGCCATTTTTGTATGTTAAGAAAAAAAAAATTAATTTTATGCTACAAATGCAGGGTTACCATATATCTTTTTAAAAAAAGAGGACACATCTGATCATTAAAAAACTGGTTGATGTACCAAAGCGTATTTTTCCTTGAATTTGAGGATGGTTCACATTCTCCAATAGGTTATATATATATATATATATATATATATATATATATATATATATATATATATATATATATATATATATATATATATATATATATATATATATATATATATATATATATATATATATATATATATATATATATATATGTATATATATATATATATATATATAAATATATATATATATATATATATATATATATATATATATATATATATATATATATATATATATATATATACATATATATATATATATATATATATGTTTAAACTCCCAAAAATTTTGAGAACCATTGAATAACTATTTCCTTGCCTTCAAAAGATATATTTGGGAAAAAAAGGACCTCAAAATGACCACAATGTTGACAAACTATAATTCATGATCAGATATTGCCTGAGAAAAATGGATGTCAAGGTTGTACAAAAATTAGCTTAAATGGCACTTTTACGAATTTAATTTACTAACTTTTTTTTACTGGCTAAAGTTTTCACAACAGATATTTTTTTAAATAAATATTTTTTGAAATAAAGTTACATTAAAAAAACCAGTTGTCAATCTTTATTTGACATAATTTATTAATTTAATAATAATGAAATAAGCTATTATTTCAATACTGAATAATTTAATTAATGGATTTAATAATATACATAATTAAAAGTATAATTAAGACTGCTACTGATACCTCCCTAACGTTGGAAAATATTTCACGCTTTTTGTTGCGTAACACGAAAAGCTGATCTTCACTTTCTTCTATCTTTTTTTTGACATCATAAAGTAATCTTTCTTGCTCCTTAAGACATAAAAATACTTGATTTATATATACATGTAGGCTTGGCAAGAAATGATGAGTTTTGGCTTGTGCCAACCCATGTAAGTTGGCTTTTAAAGAAAAATGTACTTACAAAAAAATAACTTCAACCCTTTTAACTACATTTAAAAAAGCCAACAATCACTTCAAGTTTGTGACACAAAAGATATTAACTTATTATATTACTATTAAAGCAAATTACCTAAACCTATTTTTCTTATCTAATTAATTATTGTAACTTATTGTCAACTTTAAAGTTTTTATTTTATTTATGTTTCTTTTTGCTTAAAAAAGTAGCAAATTTTTTTTTTTTTTTGCTAAAGACATAAATACATATAAATAATAAATATTATGTATAATAATACTTTGATAATAATATTTTTAAAATACAACAACAAAACTTGAGAGTGATAATCAAAATTAAAACATAATTAACAATCAAACAAATAGCTATTTTTTGCAATAACATTTGGACTGCAGAAAGTATTATTAAATAATTTTAATAAAACAATTTATTTTGAAAAATAAAAAAAAATTTTATGAATTTTCAAACATGTATTTTCTTTATAACTATACAATATAAAATTATTACTTTTATTACTAATGTTGCAAAACATTTTTTTAAAAGTTATTAATTATGAAATATAATGTTTTATGTATTGTGTATTTTAAAAGAAGTTGAAAAGAATCACTCGTGGAAGATGAAGTTAGTGAAATAGAAGATGATTATGGCGAAGATGAAGTGAAATAGAAATGCCAGTTATTAGTCCAGTCATAACAGCTAAAGATGGTACTAAGTGGGCTAAGACATCAACAAATGAACATAAAGTTGCAAGGCATAATATAGTGCGACAGAGATGTGGACCTAATAGAAACACTAATATGTTATTAAATCTTGACACATTCAAATTATTTTTCACTCCAGAAATGGCTGACATCATACGAATAAAAAAGCAAACTTAACACATGCAACATATAATGAAAAAAATTCTGGGAAAAAACAACTAGTGTGGAAAAATCTGGAGGTTCAGGAATTTTATGCATTTCTGGCTATTTTGATAACATCAGGTGCCAACAATTTGAATACTGACAATACAAAGGATATGTGGCAGTCGTATAAATATTCATTGTTTCATGCAGCAATGGGCATCAGTCATTTCTGAAACATTATTTGTTTTATTTGATTCGATGATGCTAATACTCGTGCTTAACACATGGAGATAGATAAAGCTGCTCCAATACGAGATATTTGGACAATGCTTAATATAGTAATTTAATGCCTAATAGTAATTTAGCAAAACATTATAAGCCATCAGAACATCTGACCATCGACGAACAACTTAACCATACCGAGGTCAAACTAAATTCACACAGTATATTCCATCAAAACCAGCCAAGTATGAAATCAAAGTATGGTGGATACATGACACAGAAAACTTGTACCCTCTCACTGGGCAGATTTACAATGGAAAATCGAGTGCTAGTTGTGAAAAAAATGTTGGTAAGAGAGTGGTCAAAGACTTGGTAGCACCATACAAAGGATCCGGTAGAAACATTACAATGGATAATTACTTTAATACTCTGCCATTGGCAATATCTTTACTATCCTGAAATCTAACAATTGTTGTTACTTCGAAAAAAAATAAAATGTGCATTCCACCAACAATGACTGCATTGAAAACACAAGAAGAACTATCCAACGTATTTGGCTTTCATGAAAAGTAACCATAAAAAGTAACCTTGCAGTGTATATTCTTTATTATGAGAATAATAAAGTGCTTCCAAAAAAATCATACGAACGACAATTATTTTATCAGCAACTGGGCAGAAAGCTGTGTACTCCATTAATCCAAAACTGTTCACACAATCCACAAATCATGAGGCATTTTACAACAAAAGTGGCAATTGAAATTTTTTTTTGGTCAAACTATAAACCAAAATGTATTTCAACCACAACATGTGAAGACTGTGTGAAATAAATAATTCCTTTGTCACGTTTTAACTTAAATAAATAAACAACATAAAAAACTTTAATAAACAGTCTTATTAATGAATATAAAGTCAGCTTTCAAATTTATTAAGCTAAGTGAGTACCCGGGTACTTGATCATTGAACGGAGGAGATATTGAGTTTGATAGTTAAGAACTGCTATTGAGTGATTAATTTGAAAAAAGTTTCTCAAAAAATTGATGTCAGACTTATTTAACCTTGAGGATTCAAACAGTCATAATTTTTTTTTAGGGGGAAGTTAATTAATTATACCTTAGAAACTAAAATGGATACCCAGGTACCCGGATACTGCCCAGATGGATATAATAAAATTGATTATCTAATAAAACCTTAATTTTTCAAAATTTCTATTGAAAAAAATGATGTCTGTAGAAATGCCAGCAGACACCACAAATAAACTTTATTTTAAAACTAATAAAACATATAACTAAAATATATTAAAGTACTTATAAATTAATTTATAAAATAATTTTCAATCAAATCTAAGTTATACTTTAACTAACCTGAGAATAAAAAAATTATGCATAAACTGCATAATAAAAATGGGGTTTGAAAATTCACCTGAAAAAAAATATAAGCTTGTTGCATATGCATTAAATTAGATGAACTTTGTGTTGGGGTAAGCTGTAACAGAAATTATATACTAAAATTTTCAGTTTTTAAATTTCATTCAAAATTTCTTAAATCTTTAGGCAAGTTAAAGTTTTTTTTAGAGATTCTAGAGTTAAATTTATCTTGAAGGATGAATTAAGAACAATACTTATAGTCAAAGTATGATTTTAATTTGAGGTTTTATTTACATCTCATATTTATTGTACAAATAGATATCTTTTGTAATTCAAAAAGCCACTACTTTACAATCCCTTAAGACATAAGTGTTAGTATATTTAATTACATACATTTATTTGTCTTTCTAATTCCTCTAACTCTTGGCATTCTGTTTTCATTGCATCATCTTCTTGTTTTATTTGCTGTAAAATAGAAATATTTTTATCTTGTTCCCTTTTCCTTAATTCCAATATATATGGTTTCATATGCTTCAATTCATCTTGCGTCAATCTTTTTCTATTATATAGAACAGGCATAGTTCTGGGATAAATACTTTTTTTATATTACAACATGTCTACCATAGTGAAATTCTCAACTATCAGCTCACAAAATTTAAACGCTATTAATATAAACAACGTTGATCTATTGAAGCTACATAAAATACTATTTGGCGTAACCATAACAATTTGTAAAATTATTTTTTCCGTGGTTAACAATTTTAGTCGGAGAGATATATGCAGTCAAGCCGGACAAAAATAGTATTAAGGCCGACGCGATTGAGGGGGGGGGGGGGGTAACACCCCCCATAAAATGAATTTTTCTTTCATAGAGTCAAGTCAGCCGGCAAATTTAGACAAACAGTCGGCTAATATTACCCAGTCAGTCGTCAAATTTCAAAAAACGAGGATTTTTTTTCAAGTCGGCCTCCTCCCTCCTCCCTCCTCCGTCATGGAGCTATCCTTCGATAACATTGTTAGGGGTAAAAATTAGGTTAATTTAACACCTATAAAATCTCATAAACAATATATGGTTGGATAGCAAATTCAATGCTGATCAATATTTTAGTAAAGACTATAACTAATTAAAATAAGTGTCTTTAAGTGTTGCAAAAATAATGACATTTTAAAATTTAAAGTATTAAAGAAACATGTTAAATTTATTTTTTAACTGAGATAAAAACAAGATAAATTTAATTGAAGGTGAATCATATCCATCAAATATGGTATAACAACTACTATATATATATATATATATATATATATATATATATATATATATATATATATATATATTGACGTAGACCTCAGTAACTAGTAAAAATCTCTTGCCTTTGTTCTAAATAGTAGGGATACTCCCTTAAGAAAGTATTTGCACAACTTGCCGTTTGTATTTTATTTAATTTCATTGACAGAAAGAACCACTTTGCGTAATGATGGTTTGTTTGCATTTAACACAACATATAGATTAACATTATCCTCTCTTTAATAGTTGCTGCAAGTTTTTTAAAAAAGTATTGAAAAAACAATTTTTTTTTCCTAATATAACGCTTAGTAAAAACATTCAAAGATACAATTATGTTTTTTCTCCTAAACTTTGCTTTCTGTCTGATATGCTGATTAAACTTTACACTAGGAGTAATGATTTTGTATTATCATCAATGATAAACAATAGTGTAGAAATGTGCATGTTTTATTCAAAGAATTTAAGTTGTTAATAGCTAAATATTGTATGGATGCTTTTTCATAAATTGTCGTTGATTGTAATGTAGCATGTATCATGTCGCGTGTCAGTTTTGGCGAGAATTATTTTTCGAACTAGCTGCACTAAGATCAAGATTCATTTTAGGTGCGCGAAATATTTCAAAGACAACTTTTCATACAAAAATACACATTATTTCTTACATAATTGTTGTTTTCAACATATTGTTTTTTACAAAATTATTATTTTTAATATATTATATCTTACAAAATTGTTGTTTTCAACATAATATTTTTTACAATTTAGTAGACAATATTATTTTAAAAAATATTTGAACTTTACTTTTATTAACAACTACTGTACAGCAGTTCAGTTTTTTTATTTGATTTGGTTAGGCTATGATTAGAACCAAAATACTTTTTTCGTATTTTGGTTCTAATCATAACCTAACCAAATCAAATACTCTAAAAAGAAAAAATGGTTTTTTGTCACAAAGCACAGCTTTACTCATTAATGTTGCTTTAATAACCATAGACCACATTGAACATTGGACCTTTCTACGTTAAAGGTTTTAAATACTTGGACTTCACTTATACACTATTAATGAAAAGACTTTGAGTCCTTAGCCACGTTATAAAGTAATAACTTTGTGTTTCTAATTCGAGTTCTTCATATATACTCAGTTCTAATTTATTAAAAACTGCTTTAGTTTTTTTGAAGTTGAAATTTTACTTTAAGGACTTCTTAGAGCACCTTAATAATCACACGCACACAAAAATTCTGTTTCACTTTGCCCAAGATTTTTGGGAAAACGAGACAGTGTAGTTGGTGTCATTTTGAATAATCAATGAACATCTCCCAAAAATTAATCTACAAGACAAGCTAAAAGTTGCAAAAAAAAAGCTTGAACCAAGATTGCTAATGGAAGGCATTCACCTTTTTAGTTAAAAAGTCTTTAATTTTTGAAAATGTTAATGAATATAAAATATAAAAAGATATTTCAACAAATACTGTCATTGTGATTTCCAGTTTGAATGATAAAAATTAAAATCACACTAAAGAGGCTGCTATAAATACCTCCGTATGTAAATTCCTCGACCATTTACAGAAAAAACAAGTTATTAATATAATCTTCTAATATTACTACTAATGATACTATACAGCAGGATATAAAACTATAAATATAAAAGACTTGTTTGATGTTTTTTAAAAACTTATTTGTCCGATTTGCCAAAATAAAAAATCTTTGGTGCTGTCTGAAAACATCAAAAATGAATAAGAACTCGCCTCTTTATTTTTATAATGTTCAGAGTTTGCTTTATGTAAATGTTTTTATACTTCAAAAAAAAGTGGTTAAAAGAGGTATAATGTAAGTAAGCAAGTTGGTAAGCAAAGAGGTATACTATAAATAAGGAAGTATAATATAAGTAAGCATATTGTTTACGAAATGCAATCGTCGAGTCTTACTTTTGCAAGATTCTAAAAATTCACTTGACATAAGAATATTTCTTTGCCAATGTCAAGAAACAGTTATGATAATTTTGTTAACAAAATCATAAGCATCGTGAAATAATATGTATAATTGTATATATATAAAATAATATAAAAATCATGTGTGATGCTGCCACTAAATTTAAACACAATTTAAATGTTATTGTATTTCATGTAATAGGACGTTGCAAAGGTGAGATTTTTTATCTTAAAATGAGTACAATATTTATTGGTAGTAAAAAGGCTTTGGACGTATAACCATAAAGTATAGTAGAGTTTTCAAAGCTTGTATTCTAATAAAACGAAAAAAAGAAAAGTTACTCGTGTTGCTTTGCTGAGTGAAAAAGTGTACATAAATGTGCATATCTACGCTACGATAAAGCCAAAGATATATATATTAATAAACCTGGGCCAAGCATGCGCATAGAAAGTGCTTATAAAATCAAACCATCCTTTGAGAAACTCAGTGCTGAGAAGCAGTTAGAAAAGTGTTTTGTAGTAAAAAAGTTTTGGTTAAAAATCATTTAAGGCGGAAAAAAAAGAAAACAGAATGAAAAAAAAAGCAAATTATATATAACAGGCTTTAAATACTATTTGTTAATTTTTATCTATGGTATGTTTTAACCTAAACTTATCATGTTTTAAAGTTATATATGCTGACTTTTTTTTTCCACCTTAAAGCAAAAGACGCAATTAGTTTTGATATTATTTTCAGTTTTTCTTTGATAAAGCATAAAATAGGATACTATTTTGGGTAATACTAATCCGCGGAAAGTTTTGTAGTTAAATTTAATGTAAACCCGCAATTAAAGCTATGAAACAAAATGATAATTAACGTTTAAATCCTGCTCAACGTAACAAATGTATAAAAATTAAACTTAATATTTGAGAAGCTGACGTTTTTTTAAATTAAAGATATCTTTCAAGTTAAATTTTTAAAAAGTTACGACTCATTACTAGGAAGAAACCATTTTTTCACAGTTTTTAGAACTGTACCTGATGACCTACCTCATTATAAAAAAGATTTATTTTCCGCGGATTAGTATTACCCTACTATTTTATTGAATATTATCAAATCCCTAAAATATACGAGAGAAGAAAAAAACTTAATACAAAAAAAAATTCTTTAAAAAAATTATATAATTACATTAAAGATAAACACATTTCAAAAACGAAAGCCATATATGTAATATAAAAAACTTCAAATTCATATATACACTATTAATAATTGTACTCATATATTGATAGATATAAATACAATAAAATATATACAGCAAAAATATAAATATCACGCATAAATTATTTACAAAATACAAATATATATATATATATATATATATATGTGTATATATATATATATATATATATATATATATATATATATATATATATATATATATATATATTATATATATATATATATGACTTCTTTGGGGACCTATTTTTTGTTACTATGATTAATATATTGAATGTTTAAGCCCTCGAGCTGAAAATACATGATCATAAAATCGGACTTCAAGCATAAAAATCGCGTTCTTTTTTTAGTGAAATACTTTTGATGTTACAAAACAACTCAAGTTGCTAGAAAGCTCACTCTAAAAATATTACCTTCCACCGTACCTATAAAAAATACAAAAATTAGAAAAACATCAGCAGCAATGCAGTGATTATCGTAATTCTAGAAAATGTTTACATTTTATTGAAACTGTTTCATATTAAAATATAATATTGTAAAATAACTCATATTGGCAATAAATTAATAATCGTAACTGTTTCATCCTAAAACATAATAATACTTTAGAATAATTCATATTGGCGATAAATAATTCTTTTTAGAAAAAACAAACAAACTATAAACTAACAATTTTATTTTAAAAATGGAATCAAATTAATTTGTTATAAATACGATGTTAACAACAAGATGTTGACAATCCAAAAAATAAACTTTTATGAAAACAGGTTAAATTATTTCATTTAGCATTATTTTTTTATATAACACTTCCCAAGGCTAAAAAATTTATTTTTTTAAGGCTAAGAATTTTTTTTTTTTGAAATATGTTTATAATAATTTAGGAAAATTTTGTTATTCTTTTTCAAAATTGTGACTAATTTTACCAAGTTTAATGAAAACTTATCTTTTATCAATCAACCTATGTTTTTTTTATAAAAACAATCAACTTATATGCTGCAACGTTGGCAACATAAACTTGTGAATATCATTAAAGAACTTCCAAGCTGAATGTTAAATAAAACTATTTAACCAATCATGAATTTTAAAAGAATATAAATATAATAAAATAAAAATAAAAGTAGTTTTTAGTATGAACTTTCTTTTTATCAATCTTTCAAAATCTCTTTTTAAAAAAGATTTAAATTATACTTTTTTTTATAATACAGTACTTTTCCCTTACATAGCATAATTATACTTATTTTTTATAATACAGTACTTTTCCCTTACATAGCATAAATAGATTTTGTGTGGCAAAAATCACATAATCACATAACTCAATTGTGTTATCTTATAAAAAAGTAGAGTAACAACATAAGTAAAATGTTGTTATATTAGATTACACAAATGATTGGTTTAAAAAATCTTTCACTGTTCTAATGGGAAAAAAAAATTTCACTTTTCTAAAATAAAAAAACTGAGCTATTTAAATATTTTATTATTAATCACTATTTATAATCTGAATTTTCAGAAGCTACTTTATCACCTATTTATAATCCGAACCTTTAGAAGCTACTTTATCACCTATTTATAATCTGAATCTTTAGAAGCTACTTTTCATCTATTTTTAATTTGGACCTTTCGTAACTTCTTTATCATCTATTTTTAATCTAGATCTTTAGTATTTAGTACTATATGATTTTTTTTTAATCTATACCTGCTTCATTGTTATGAGAGATTAAAATTTGAACCAAATAAAGGATACAAGTTAAAAAAAAATTTTGTCAAGACATTATCAAACCAAAATATAACAAAAATTTTAAAAAACAAATTAATTGTCTCATTTTGTAAAAATTTTAAAAACATAACTAATATATTTACTTGTTTGTCCAATCAGTTCTACCATGAACACCTAACTTAGAGCGATTTTCACTACCTGTAGATATTTGGGCTAGAGTCGGTTTAGTATTTGACAAAGCTGGGGGCTTCCAAATCACACCTCCTCCTAATCGAAAACAACTAGTTAATTAGGTTTGGTTAAATACATTAAAATTTGAAACTATAAACTTATTTAAATTAAAAATCAATCGATAACCATTCTTAATATTTTGCATTTTTAAAATACCTAACATCTTTTGATTACGATCATTTTTTAAATCATCCAAATTCTGTGCTGCTGGAGATGGTTTAATATCTCCTAAGATCCAGTTCTTAAATGAATCTTTTTTTGTATCTGATGTCAACTCAACTAGTTTCTTTCCTGATCCAATGTCAATTATTCTTCCTTCTATTGAGGGCTTAATAGGAGCATTTGGTCCACCAGGATAATACCTTGATCTTTGCATGTAATGTTGCTTTGCAGAATTGGGTCCTGCTGATGGAGGATTTTTTTTTGAATCAGTTATTGCTTCAATACTTGGTAAGGGACTAAATATTTAAACAAATTTTACAACTAAAAATAAAATAATAATTATAAAAACAAAAAAAACATCTAAGGAATTAAAAACTTAGTTTATAATTAAAAAAAGTTTGAATAAATCCAAACCTAAAAATTGAATCCAATGGCTCTTTTTTTGCAATATGCTAAAGATAACCGATGTACAACTATTGTCAACTTTATAAAAAATATAAACCAATAGCAAAAAGGAATTGTTTAAAATTTCTAAACATTACTTATTAATAAAAATATATATCTGTTGACATACCCTGCTATTAACCAATCGAAAATCTGATTTACTGGTATTAAGTTCGTCCAGTATTTCATCGAACTCATCTGGTTTTGTTTCAGTTTTTTCATTACCCCACCTTTTACGTGAAGATAATGATCCTTTACTTATTTCAGAAAGCTTTGCACTAGACATAGAATCATTTCTTGTAAAAACATCCAATGAATCCTTTGTATTTTTCTTAGCATTTATGTTAACATGTTTTTCATTGTCATCATGAGTTATGCTTTTTTGAATTGCATTTGATTTGCTTATTGAAATACGCCTTTGTAATTGTGTGGCTTGTAGTTTCTCTGTTGTCTGCATATTTTGACCTACTTGGAAAAATGGATATCGCAAGGCTTGTTGTGCAGTTGGTCGTTTTTGAGGATTCCAATTTAGCATGTCCTCAAGTAATTGAAGACCTTCTTTACTTGCATTAGGAATAAGTTGTTTAAGTGGAGTAGCAACCTTAAATTTTTTTTTCAAAAAAACAAGAGCATTTAAAATGAACTTTTTAGAATTAGACTTTTTATTTTACATTATACATTTTGCATTATTTATTTTATATTATTTGTTCTACATTACATGATAAATTTAAAATTAAAAACAGCAAAAAATACCATATTTGGAAACTTGAAATTCATAGCATTTGCTAATTGATAGCCTTCAGGCCAATCTTCCTAATGTATAGATAAACAAGATATTAAAAAACAAAACCAAAAAAGTGAATTAAAAATAGTGTAGCAATAAAAATAAGTTATATTAAAAATCTATTAAATTGTATTAAAACATCAAATGATTATTATATTATATAACATATTTCTACATAAAAACCTTAGATGGAGTACCCATAACTGAACAAAGCTTGAAAATCATGTCAACCTCACTTGAACCAGGAAATAAAGGACGAAGTGTATAAAGCTCTGCCATTATGCAACCACAAGCGAAGATATCAATTGGTGAACTATAATTAGTTGATCGAAGTAATACCTCAGGTGCCCTATACCTAAAATTAAATGCAACAACAAAAAAAAGATACATTAGTCTTACTTTTTTGAACACATTTCACAAATATTCTTATAAATTATAACCTTACCATCTTGTTGAAACATAGTCTGTGTAAGGAGGTCTTGAGCGAATTTCCCTGACTAATCCAAAATCTGCAATTTTTACAATTTCAGGTCCACTGCATAAAAGATTTTCTGGTTTCATGTCTCTGTGAAAGAACCCTTTAAAAAATATATTAAATTTAATAAGCAGCAAACAGTTCACTACCATTTAAATTATTCAACAACCATTTTTTGCAAGCTCTTAACAAAGGCTGCTCTAGCCCCTTCCCTCCTTCATTATGCTTATAGCAGTGTCTTTTCCTTAAAAATATTTAAACCAAGTTAAATGCAGGACAACTTTATATTTGATATATGGCCATATTTTTTTGTTTTTTAATGTAGGTAAAATTCACATTTAATTTTGTTAGCTATACCATAATTATGTTATTCACCTCCTTGTCGCCAAAAGGGCTACTACAGTTGAGGAAGTTATTTTATTGCGGCTACAACTGCAATGTAAAATTATTATTTAAAAGCAAAATAAAAATGTTCAATAGCTATAGCTTTCAAATAGATAAAGAAATATAAACATTGAAAAAAAAAAAATTAAATAGAAATCAAAACCATTGTTTGATTTGTATTTTTATTTACTTGTTAATGTTGTTCATCATATTAATTATACGGAATCATTTACAATATTTATAACTGAACAATAAAATGAAAAATACAAACCTGTTTTGTGCATAAATGCCAGGCCTTGAAGAATTTGATACATTATATTACGAATTGCTGACTCAGGGAAAATCTTATCTCTTAAAAAAAAATTACATAGAAGTATATAAAAATTGCATAAGAATCTAGAATATACTTAATACTTATATTGTAATAAATATTTGAGTGACACAAAATCTGTTTTAATTTTTTATAAAAGGAAAATCACATAGTAAATAACAGAGTGCTTTTAATTATATTTGATAAAACATACTTAAAAAAATCCATTAGAAAAATCCATAATATAAAGATGTTATGATGAAATATAAAGATAATATAAAGATGTTATGATAACATCTTTATCTTAAGCATTAAAAAAAATATTTCTTTTACAACTTTGTCACACAACTACATAAGTATATCAACCCTCTAAATTTTTTACAATTAAAAAAACAATCCCCCTTCCATTTGAATCTGGATTCAACTCTTAGCAGCTCCTTGCGTCAAAAAGGAAATCTTCAATCTATTAAATATTAATTATTACTTTTGCTAATTAGTGTTTTCATTAAAAAAACTATCAAGCAGAAATGCAATAAAATAGATATTTAGATCTACATAATTTTTTATTTATTAAAACTATTTGCAAAGGCCTATATTATTCCAAATTTTTTACCAGGATTAGAAAAATCAAATAAAAACATTATATATACAAACCTGTTTTTCATTAATTGATAAAGATTTTCTTTCATGTACTCAAAAATAAAATAAAGCTGATCGTTTTCACGTATTACTTCTTTTAATTTGATCAAGTTTGCATGATTGAGTTTTCGTAAACTCTAAGAAAATGACATAAAAAAATATGTAAATCATTTTATAAAACTTAAATATATAATATATATATATATATATATATATATATATATATATATATATATATATATATATATATATATATATATTATATATATATAGATTAGGGTAATATGAGCACCTTAAGTGAAAATTGGAATATTTTCAAAAATAAATATGCTGGA